TGGGGGCTACCATCAGAGCCGCTCAGATTTGCAGGCACGGTGCTCTTGCTGGAGCTGCCCAGGCTCATGGTCATAGGGAGCTCTCCACAGGAACTGTGGTAGTGCTGAGGTTGGGAGTCTGTGAGCCCAATGGAGAATAGAGCCAGTGTGGAGACCTTCACTAACCTTTGGTGAGTGCTTGGAATAAGACCCTCCCATAGGAAAGGGGCAACCAACGGGATGACATGTTGAAATTGGGCAGGAAAGGCATGAACAAGGAACAGCAGTTCCTTGGTTGCTCCCTACCCAGAGCAGATTGGTGGCATCTGCTTGGCCTGGGTCATGCCCCTGGCTGAGACCCAATATCCAGGGACAAAATTGTCCCTGAAATTGTCCCAAATGGGTTCCGTCTGTGTGGCACACAATAATGTGAAGGCTTCTGCTGGTTGATTGGCTTGGAGAGGAGGGGCCAACCTACACCACCCTTGCTTGCACGTCAATGACCAACAGCAAACTGGAGAAGGCAGAAATCCCTAGCCAGCACACTTCAGAAGAACTATAACCAACAAGAAAAGGGGTTGGGACCTCCACTATACACCTGTATGAAAGAAACCAGAAACATGATAAGAGAAAGAAATAAGAAAAGCCACCAGCGCCCAACCCACTGAATACTGATCCAGGAGAGGTAAATACAGAAGAGATTGAGGGCAGCAAAAATGCAATATCAGACACAGCATCAGTTGACATAAAGAGATATCTTCATGACATCATAGATGAACTCAAAACTGAAATATTAATTCAAGTAAAGCAACATAGAAGAAGATTGATAAAAGAAATGCTAAGCACCTCTCAAGAAGACACAGACGAAAGAATGGAGGAACACAAAGAAGGAGAAAAATGTTCGACAAAGAATATAAAGAAAACCTAGAATACAAGAAACAGATTCAAAGAGACTACTGGGAAATTAAAATTTCCATTGAAAGCTGGAAAAGTTTCCTGACAGAAACTAGGGATAGATTAACAAACTTGAAAATTGGCTTGCAATGTCTGATTGTGAAAGGAAAGATCTCTTAAAAATAGCAAGGAACCGGGAAGTAACAATACAAAGAGGATCTATAACTTAAGAATAAAAAGCGTGACTGAGGAAGCAGGGGTAAACATGAAGGAAACACAAAGGTGAGTCACAGAAATAATTAAGGAAAACTTCCCAAGAATAGGAAAAGGAAATGATATACAGATATTTGGGGCATACAGAATTCTAGCCACCTATAACCAACACAGAGCTACAACCAGACACATAATAATCAAGAGCCCAGGAATTAATCACAAGAACAGAATATTAAAAGCCATCAGAGAAAAGAAATAGATCGCCTATAAAGGAAAACCCATCAAAATCACAACAGATTTTTCGACACAAACTATCAAATCAAGAAGAGCTTGGAGTGAAGTAATCCAAGCCCTGAAAGAAAATAACCTCCAACCCAGACAGATGTATCCTGAACAACTGTCTCTCAAAATTAATGGAGAAAAAAGATGCTTCCATGACAAAGACGAACTGGGGGAATTTGTGATCACCAATCTAACCCTACAAAAAATACCGAAGGACATTCTAGAGAGAGAGAAAAAAAAAATACCATGATTTCAGGAACAGTGGCAGAGAGGCCTCAATGAATGGGGCAGACAATAGAATGAAGAAAAGCAAACCATCAATAACAGAAAAATAGCATAGGAGAGATGAGGCAAAGAAGGTTGGCTATAATCTCTAACACAGATGGCCTTGATACACTAACAAAAAGAAACACAGGCAGAGTAGATCAGAAGATAGGGTCCATCGAGATGCTCTGTACAGGAAATATAGTTAACCTGAAAGAGTGTTTATGGACAGAAAGTCAAATATGAGAAAACAATGCTCTATATGACAAGGAACCAGAGAGAAATAGGAATAACTCGACCAGCACCTGCAGGTGCTGCATTTTTGTGCAGTAGAGAATTCATCAGCTGTAACAAAGGAAAACCTTAAAGCTTGTGTAGGTAAAAGAATACAACTAGAGATTAAGCCCAAGAGTGAGAAGGTTTAGAACTTAGGTAAATAGTGGGTTGCCTCCCCATCCCCAATCTAAAAACTGAGGGAGTTGATGGGACCAAAATGTGCAGTGCACCCTGTGGGAAAGAAATGGGAATCGTCTAAAAAAGGAAGGCAAAGGATATTGATAACAGTGTATCAGGATTTAAAATCCACATTATTCTCACCACTCTGTTTAGATGGACTGTTCCACTTTGTCTACTTGTACTAGATTTTGAGCTATCATAAAAATAACAGGATATATTACAGATTATATTAATAATATATATAATCATCCTTAATTTCCTACTAACTTAAACTGAAGCCCTGTATAACTTACACTGTATTATTACAACCGATCTTATTTGAATCTGGTTTGTTAGATTGTTGCTGTTTTGTATTGATTGATTTTATTTGAATCTGTTATGATTGATAGAATCAAATCTAAGAGTATAGACAACCACACTAGAGATGACAAGGTTCACTGGGATACCCACTGTGGTTTGATTATTACCTGCTTTTGAAGTCTTATAATGCTCCCAATGTTTTGCTTTTATTAATATTGTTATGTACTTCTATATTCAATTATACTATGCCTGTAGATATAGACAATTCTATTGTAGAGAACAAGAGACATCATTGTAACCATGGTAGATCACCTTGTACTGCAGTTTTATATGACTTTTTCATTTCATGTTTTTCTAGGAATTTATTGTGTTTTGTCTTGCTTTATTTTGTTTTTTTTTCCTCTAATACAGAAAGAATAGATATACATGTAAAGACTCATGCATGCGTAGAACTTATAAACAATTTATGAGAACTGATTATAAAATGCATGATGAAATTAACAACTACTTTGCAGAAAAAGAGACACTATAGTACCCAGTGTTGGTTCCATAGTGTCATGATGTGAGATCCAGCAATAATATTATTCTTTGTTCAGCATGATTTTAGTCTGCTTTGTTTTGTTTAATTTCAACATACGTGAAGATATGGACAGCTATTTTGAAGAGAATGAGAGACACTATGACAGCCATTGTTGACTTCTTATTGTCTGGTCTTGAAGACCTAAAATGCCTTGATCATCCTATTTGGATCGGTTTTATACTATATTGTTCTGTATGAATTCACTGTATATGAAGATATGGAAAACTATTTGGAAGAAAACAAGAGACAATATGATAGGTAGTAAAGATCTCTGGTTGTCTTGCTTTGAAATCTATGTCTCTTACATTGCTTTCTTATATTGTTTTGTTGTGTTTAACTTTGCCCTCTTTAAAATAAAGTTTAAAAAATAACAATAATAAAGAGAATCAACTACAAAATTTAAGCAGTTAATGTGAATTACATATCAATGTTTGATATCTCCAATTCAAATTTATATACAGTGAACTATATCAAAAAGAATAGTAAACAAACTGACTAAAATATTTTGAAGTATAAAATACACAAAATATATATAAATGTTAATTCATAAGAACACCGAGAAAAAGGGAGAGAACAAATGGAAAAACAAAGAGCAAAATATAGAGCCTTTAAGATCTTATTTTCAAAATTTATCAATGCAAAAATAAGCTGCGATCTCTATTTTCCCTCTACAAACTATTTTCAAAGTAACCAAGTAATTTTAGTTAATCACAGAATCCCTATGTAAAAGAACTGGTGGAAATGATAAAATTAGAAAACTCACTTTCCAGTCTTCTAGTGAATTAATTGACGCAGGGTCGGCATATGAAAGCATTAGGTAGAAGGCTGATGAAGAACTTTACAAAGGAAGGTTTACACATTTGCCAGCTATACCCAATGTCCTATCAGAGGATCAATAAAAGCAAACACTTTATGCCTGCTGGTGGTAATTAATACAAAACACAAACCATCACTTAGGAAGAATTCTTGCTAAAAGCAGTCAAATTCAAATTTAATCAGGACTTTTGAGCTGCCTTCCATTTATGGGAGACAAGAGCTTAGTGAAACAATTTCAGTGCAACAAAAGCACTATAGCAGAAGGCTGCACATTCTGCAAGACAACACAGGTCTGCTGCAAATCTATAGCATGGGGAAAAGTCAGGAGCATTATTACAGATCATGAGACTCCAAAGCCTAGATTTGAAGCCCTCTAGCAAGTAATACAAAGAAAGTTTCAATTTAGAATTGTTATATTGGAAACAACTGGAAGTAAGTTGAAGCTGACTTTCAGTGTGTAGAAATGTAAAGTGCGGAGACAGGAGGGGTGATGTGGGAACGGAACTCTTCCTCAAAACCTTATGACAAAGGATGAGAGAGAAGAGGCAGAGATAGAGGAAAGGCCCAGCAACAGGTAAAACACTGATACGAGGCAGGTGATAACTGATGAAGTAAAGCCCCAGATGGAAGTGACAGCGATATTTCTAGAAAACAGAGAGACAGTCTTCAATTAAAAAAGGCACATTAGTTGCTGAACTTGGGAATTAGAAGGCATGAAAAAGACGTAGATGTGACAATGGGAGGACCGAGAAGCTTAGGCAAATTCCTCTTGATTCTTTCATGTGCTGCTAGCATATGTGTCTTAACTGGGAAAAATTGGCCCATATGATATATGTAGCCAAGGAGAGTAATAATGAACAAGTTTACTAGGAAATATTTATAATAATTGTGGAGAAGTATGGGAAAAACAGGAGCTATGGAAATCATGGCATTTAACTGAGTCTTCAATAGAGGATTGTTCTTTCAGAAAAAGGAAGAGTGAAGGGAACATACTAACCTAGTGCTAGTAATAACTACTCACTGGGAAGAGACGAAATGTAATCCTTTTAAGTACGTTAAAATTGACCTTATTTTCATAATCTACATGAAATAAGATTAAATAAATTTAACAAGAAATTTGCACATTAGCAATGATGGCCTATTCTTTAAAAAGGAGCCAATGAGACAAAGTACAATCATGACAAACAGTTAAATATTAAAACTCCATTGTCCTTACCAATCCGAGTGATTTTATTATGTGAAAGCTCAAGACTTTGAATATTAGTGCAGCCATCCAAACCATGAAAAGAAGTCAGTTGATTTTTATTAAGAAGAACCACAGAGAGATTCTCCAATTGTTCACAATTGATACTCTCAATATGGTTTTCCTAAAGAAAAGAATAGATGTAATACATTTTATTTCAATGCCTTATTAATGGCATATTTAAAATCTACAAAAAGAGGAAGTACAAGATAGGATCTCCAAATGAATACATGAATCTCTAACTTCTAAGACAATCATGCAAACTATTATACTATCTAGATTAAAATAGTAAATAACCTAATAAAGAATTTTGAAATATATTTACTAATATATTTTGAAAAAAAAACACAAGAGGGCAATATAACAAAACAGGAAACAACCTAAAAGAACAAGAGGGATTATTGTTTTATTCTTGCTTCTCCCATTTTGGATGACAACTATTGTACTAAATCAGGCCCTACATCACCATGCTATGCAGGGGTGTCCTGAGAAATAACTTCTCATCTTATTTGGCAGAACTCTTGAGTTGAGGAAACTATACCCATGGAACTTCAAACAAAGAGTTTTATCTTTTTCTGGATCTAATTTAGATGAGAGGATCCTATGCTTCTAGCTTACATCTGATGCCAAAAGTTGATGAGACCCTGGAGCCTTCAGGACATGAATGTGTTTTGTAAGTGGAAGAGATGTGAATCCATTAGGAGTCAGAAGATTGTGACACACAGTTATTTGGTAGTCCAAACCATCTTCAGGATACTAACACATCCCTCCCACAGGAACTCACAACTTTAGCAAAAAAAAAAAAAAAAAAAAAAAAAAAAATTAGACCACATAGTGAAAGCAGATGCTTGATAAGCATTTGCATATTGGAATCTGTCCTTTTGGAATATTCACTCTTGGCATCTGAACACCCTGGAAAGATAACCCAAAATCACTATGAGATCTCCAAACATACCTGTCAAGGCACCAGACAAACAACAGAGACGTACCAACAGAGATTCTAGACCTGCTCTACTTACCTCCAATTTGACTGTAGTTACATAAGAGACTCAGTCAACATGACACAAAGCCAAAGAAATGCCCAGCCAATCCTGGCCTCAATTCATGGCCAGGCTGAATATCAGCAAATGAGATGGTGATTGTTCAAAATACTGAGTAATGCAGTTATTTGTTAGCAAAGTAACGAATATAGTCACATCAGCATTAAAGAGAGACAGGTAATTCCCAGGTCCTACCAACTAGTCATCTACTCTCCTTCCAAACATAAGCAGTTGATCTCTCTAGACCCTGAGTTACAGGTTGTGTAGTAACAGTTATTGCAAAGCTATTCTGAAATGTAAACATAAATACACTTGTATTCTTTTGTAAGTTAAATAATAGAAAACAGAGGACATACCTGTGCATCAATGTATTTAAGATTTTTACAGTTACTCAAACCGTACAAAGATGTCAATCCACAGCGCCTAAGAGATAGAAACTGAAGATTCACACACTCGGTTAATGTGGAGAGACTACACCCAGGCAAATCTTGAAATGTAACAGTTGTCACCTTGAGAATGCAAGAAAATTGCAGAAAGGTCAACACTAGCCATGTGAAACTGTTTTAAACAATTCATCTAAGAAAATATTAGAGCTGCGAATCACAGTCATCAACAATTCAGTTTGAAATAGGTTATCTGGTCTCTTTTTTTTCTCTTCTTGGAGAGACAAAATAACCCAATCATTTATGACCAATACAAGTTAAAACTAAAATGCACTTTTTGTCTCATTTTGTTTTCTGTGCTCTCAGCATCCTTTCCAGATCACACCACATAAACATTTATGACACGGTTTGACTATCTTAGATTCCTGGATAGTAAAAGAACAAGGCTGACTACATGTTCGTGGAGATCTGCGGAAGAAATTTAGTCTCCTCTTTGCCCTAAGTGGCAAAAACAGTAAATGACATATATTAAAACCTCATGGAAATAAGAGTTCTCATTTTAATAATTAACTTATGAATGTCTCACAAATAATTTTAAACAATCTGGGGGGCAAATTATAGTTAATAATTTTTTTAGAAAGAAAATATCCATCCATTTGTGTGCTAATTACGTCCAGGCATTGCCCAATTAGTCAGTCTGCAAACAAATATAAATGCTGTAATTGGAAAACTAGATCCGTAGTAGAAAATGAAAGCATTATTTAGAGTTGAACTCTTAAAATGAATTTCAGCTACTTAGTAACAAATGTTACTCCACATTATAATTGATGTAAATTGGCCTGATTTAGTAATATGTGGGTTTTAATCAAATATACAAGAACACTTAAGTTCTAGTTATTTATTATGTGGCAATTTTTGTAGTTTCATTTCGTTACACCACATGAGAAATAACTGCTACAGTGTTCTTGCTAGCAGCATCTACTTTTGAATATCAGCTTCTTAGTATTTCTTAATCTACACTAAAAATTTTTTTAAATACTCGTGGTTTAGCAAAATAGTCTCTACCCTGCCTTAGATTTTTCAAATTCAAAATACATTTTGTACTCTTTATTACTACATGCATGACATTAATCATATACATATTTTGTTTTATGCTCCAGAAATTAAGGTTAATACAGCAGTGGTGATTCTATGAATCCAATCACTATGTGGTCAGTTGGGAAACTGACAAATGGAGCGAACCAAATGTTGGCCAACTTTTTCATAAATAAATGAATGAACTCCCTTAATTTGTGGCAAATCTCAAATACATTTATACCTTTCAGTTTCTTTCCATTTAAAGGATAAGGAATATATAAGGAATATATAAAAATTTATATATTCAAGCTCTCATAACCTATAAATGAGATGGAAACCTGTGGATCATTCACTGCATTTTTCTAAAAGATCATGAATTTCCCATTTAATCAATCTAACTTGCCTCAAACTCTGACAGCTCATTTTGTATCAAATAGCCTGAGTCACTGTATATTCTTTAGAGATTTCTCTGTCAGTATTCTGGAGTTTAATCTAAAGAATATCAGTGTTGTGTGGTACTGTATTTCCAAAAGTTAATGAAAGAAAAAAATGTTTCTCGCTTTTCCATAATATAGTGTTTGTTCAGTATCTCACGACAGTGGGAAATCAGTGTAAGGACAAGAATTTGAAGCTAAAGGATTAGAAAATCAAAGTGAGGAAGTGGGTCAGTGACAATATGGAATAAAGACACTTGAAAAAGCTTTCCTAGTTTGTTTTGTTAACAAAAATCATCGAGGAACTCTCTGGAAGCAAAAGATGGTTTATAACACTTCAGCATCGATACGACAAATTCACGTTTTTTCATCCTTATGATATACAGTTGTTGCTTCAGGGAAAATTAAAAATTTGAAATCATTACTTTGACTCATATGAGAGGATTAAAGGGTACTGTGGAACACTGCTATTCAAAATAATTAACAGTAATCTCTCAATCGAGAGACCTATTTAATCAAAATCAGTTGAGGCCAGCATAGGCTGCATAACGAGTTCAAAGCCAGCCTGAACTTACTGAACGAGACCCTGTCTCAAACACAAAACAAGGCTAAAAAATAAAAAAAGAACTGAAAGAGAATTAATCTTCACTTAATGTAAACTGACAAGAGCTTCAAGAAAGAATATAGTGCGGATGACAAAAAGAAAAAAGAAATAGCAATGAGAAGAGACTTTCACATCTATCTTTCTCAGATCTCACTGGACAAAATGAAAACTAGAGTAAAACGGAAGCGCCCTATTATTTCTCTAACTTTAGTCCTATTTTTAAAACAAGTATTTGTCAGTCATCCATGATTACTTCTAATGAATATCCATGGGGGAACTTACTATAGAAATGAAACAACTGCTGATATGTCATAGTGGAAAGCCTGAAACATCTTAGAAAAAGGACTAATCAAAAAGAATGATTAGAGGCCAGGGATACAGCTCTGCGCACGAGCGCCTGCCTAGCAAGTGTGAGGTTGTGAGTTTGAAGCCCGGTACCAAAAAAAAAGATTATAGATAGTATACCCTAGGAAAAATATGGGGAGAGCACCTGGAGATTCTTGGGGTGTTTTTTATTTGTGTTACTAAGGACTTAGGGATTGAACCCAGGACATTTGCAATAAACTACATCCCCAGAGCTATCATCATCATCATCATCATCATCATCATCATCATCATCATCAATATATTTTGAAACAAAGTTTTCCTAGATTTCCCAAGCAAGATTCAAACGTGTGATCCTCCTGTCTTGGCCTCCCAAAGTACTGGGATTATAGGCCTGTGCCAACTGGAGATTTTTTGTGTAGTTGTACAGAACTGATGTGCGTGGCAAATATATAGCCTCGGAGATAGAAGATGGTTTGAAGTGTATGTTCTAATTTTTATTTCTTAGACTGCTTTCCTGTCCCAAATGTCTCTCTGAAAGTCACCATTTCATTATCTTCTCATAGAATATCACAAAATCCTACTTTGGGGCGGGGTGTACCAGGGATCGAACTTACAACCTCGCGTTTTCCAGGCAGACACTGTGACACTGAACACATCCCTGGCCCTTCTTATTTAGAACTATGAAGCAATGATACAGTATTTCTCTATCTATTGAAATTCCACAAAGGCAAAGACTGGATTCTGTTTTTATTCATTCAGTCTGCCAGTACATACTGATCAATCACAGTGGGCAAATCAGTATTTGCTGAGCAAATGAATAAAATATGCATAAATAATGATTTAAAAAGTATAAAATGGAAACATTGCTTTGTAAATAGAAGGGGGATAAGAGTTGAAGGGAGGAGAGGGAATTGAGACAAAAGAGGAATCAAAATATACCATGTACAGGTGCAAATTCCTTAGGTAAATATGATCAATATGGATATCTAAAATGTTTTAAACTAAATTAAAAAAAATTAAAAACAAAATAAAAAAGAAGCTAAATGAAAGTTATTAAATACATGTGATATTCAGGACTTAAATAAATATAGGTGTTAGAAATAAAAATATTTGTAATATTGCACAATTTAATACATTTTCCATTTTTCTACATATTTGTTAGTTTCTATGTCTCAAACATGGTTGAAACGGCCATAACCACAGAAAACAGGCAGCATTGGAGCAGAACTATTTCAGCCATACACGACCCACATTAAAGCAGAACAGGAATAAGTAATTACAATTCTTTATAGGAATTCTAGATCTTTTATTATGTAAGTGCTTCTTTCACAGCAGTGGTCACAAGCAAATCTTCATTCTGAAAGAAGCAGATAGTGTGGTAGCCTGAATCTAAAGCAAACGCCAACCCTGCATTCCAGGTGCTCAGTCTCACAGTTTAATAATGGTTGTAGGGTGCGTTAGTGTAGCTTTCAAGATTATATCTCAAAGCTCCTTTTAGTGCTTAGGGAGACATTGCACTAAATAATTTTAGTAGAGATTTTAAAAATACATTCCCTTTCAATGGGATAATATTTCATCAATAACATCATCAACTAAAGGATAAACTTCTATTATTAAAAAGATTCCCTTCATTAAAATTTGAGATTATTTCATTTCCATTCAGAAAAAATTACTATAAAATTATAAATACCTGTTGTAAATTATCCCAAGGGCCACAGCGAAGAATTGCTAATGTATTCAAAGGGGGCATACTACTGACTGGGCATTTTATAGGTCTCTTTCTTTGAACCATTTTTCTTTGTTGATTTTGCTCGCAGATTTCAAACCAAGATTTACAGGATTTTACCCAAGCTAGTCTCTTTTCCTCAATAGAAGATAAAAGTGTTGACTCTGGTCTATAGCAGGCTGTGATACTTTCATATCTAGCCCTATTTTCAAGGCATTCTTCTTTAGAATCATAGTTAAGAGAGTTTATTTCTTTAGTAAACAAGGAATTTCTAGCAGTACAACCACCCATGTCTTCACAAGCAAAAGGTCTACCAAAAGCACCATCTTGTTCATCTATCTTGCCTTCTATATTTACTACGGTATCCGCGGTCTTAAAAATGACATCACTATTTACAGCACTTTCTCGTGGTTTTTTTTCAGTTTCTTTGGATTTTAAATCAATTACTTCTTGTAGTACAGCTTCAGAATTTTCTAATTTTATTGGTAGTAGATTTTGCTTCTTGGAAATAACTGAAGGATTGTTCTCTTTATTCAGTGATCCATTCTGTTCTGATGTCTCGTTTTCTATGTTTTCCACCACTTTCTGTTGATTAGATTTGATTTTTTTCTGTGCTTCATTTTTTACCTCATTTGTTTCTTGATTATAATCTACTATAACTTGAATTTCTTGTCTAGCATTCTCATTCATGGCATGTTCCACACTTTCCTCCATTGGTATTTGAGAGTTTAATTCCTGTTCATTCACAGTATCTTTTAGATCTGAATTTTTAACAGTTTTTTCACCTCTGTCTTCATCTTTTATTTCTTGCTTAACTGATTTTTCTGAACTTTGCTTGTTGCCAAGGCTGTCACTTTTTTCTTCCATTTTTAATTCCACCAAATGTTTCTGGTCTGAGTTTTCCAATTCAGTTTTTTTGTTTATGTTTTCATCTTTTATTTCCTGCATAACTGATCTTTCGGAAGTTTGTTTATTTCCTAGGATTTCACTTTTCTCTTCTTCCATTTTTAAGTCTGCTAAAATTGTTGGGTTTGATTTTAATTGCACTTGTGTTGATTCCTTCAATACAAGGTGTCTATCTATGTTTTGTCTCTTATTTGATTTCTCAACTAAACCTAGGGAGACATCTTCCTGCTTCTTTAAGTTTTCACCCACTAACATTTTCCCCGTATTGCTCTTAGTCTTTGGTGTATCTTTAATAATTACATGTTTGGCATTATATTCTTCCTTCTTTAAAGCTGCCATCGGTAGCGGTAGGATTGCATTCTCTCTTAATTTTATTTTTTCCCTGTTTAGTAGTTCCTCTCTTTCTTGTCGCAGGATATTCTTTTTTTCCTCATAGTCTTTCTCTCTTCTTTTCTTTTCCTCCTCTTTCTTTTTTATTTCCTCTGCTAGCCTCTGTTCTTCTTCTAATTTTTTTTGTTTTTCTTCTACCTTCTGTTGTATTTTTGCTTCTTTTTCTTTCCATTCTTGTACTTTCCTTTTCTTAGTTTCTATTTGTTCTCTTATGATTGGGGCATATTTTTGGTAGATTACAAATGCTCTGTATTTAGATTGAATTTTTACGGCTGCATTATGCTGAAGTTCTAACAAACGCCTTTCTTCTTTTTCCTGTAGATCTTTAAATCTTGTTCTTTCTTCTTCTATTTGCAAGTGCAAGTTTTTAATGAATTCCTAAAATAAGAGAAGTAATAGTCAATAAACTAAATATATGATGGCATTAAAATTTCATCTAACAGATTACAAATAAACACTAAACCTGAAGTAATAATGAAATTACTACAAAATGCACTCTGAGGAACTACTCATTTATTTTGAAGGGATTACTGTTTTAAAGATCATGTCATTAACTTGCTACTCTAACATTATTAGGAGTACACTAAGTCACACAGATACCAGTTGAAGACTTCTTTGAAGATAGAAAGTACATCATATCATAATGACACAAGGAAAAAAAAGTAAGAGAGACCACAAATCAAAATTTATGTGAGAGAAATGCATTTTAACCTCCCAATGTGGTATCTTTGATAAATAGGACTTTGAGTTGGTAGAGGACATTAGAATTATGGAATTATTTTATGAGCCTTAGCATACCAAGAAGGCCTGGGAGTCCATACACAAAACTATGTGAAGAACCAGTATAGCTGTACAAATTCCCAAATCTCAAGACAGTTGAAACACAGGAAAAATAAGATGATTTGACAGAAAGTGAAAAAATACCATTGTCACTAGAATTATATAAAAAAGGAAACAGGTCAAAATTTCAGTGAATACTTACAGGAAAGTAACACAAAGAGTGTAAGATGATACATTGAATTAGTAGAAAAAACAATTTCTGAGAAAATACTAATGAACTAAATAGAACTTAAATGAAAACTCTTCAGAACAAATGCTTAATCAAGAAGAGCTTCATATGAAAATGAGGTATGAGTGTTCAAATAAAAATATGATTCACTCAAAACTCAGAATTACCAATTATCTGAAGAAAAATTTCAAAATAAATATTTTAGCAAATATATGATCTATATGACAAAGACATTCAAGAGTAAAGAAAGATCAAGAAAGACCTCCAAAATACAACTAAGAAAAAATCAAGGGAGAATAATAGGAAAGTTTCTAAATTAAAAACATAACACAAAAGTTTACATTACATTCTCTGACACATACATAACATATTAAACACACTCAGACAGATGCCAACAATATTTCAATAACAAAAGCAAATAAAATCTCCATGAAAGTAAGGAATAAATACTGTTTATTACCTATTAGAGACACTTAGAGTCTACCTAACACATAAAAGAAAATCAATAAATATTTTCAGATAAATGTAGTAATAGTAAAAAAAAAGTAAAAATCCAACAGGTTCAAAAAAATGTAAAGAGAAAGTACCAAGTCAGCAAAAATAAACATACGGTGGCATCATATCTTTAAATTGTATGCATGTATGTATGGATTATACACATAAATACACTAATCATTCTGTTTTGAAAGCAAAATAAAAGTATTCTCAAATGTGCAAAGATTGAGGAATCCGAACCATTCAAAAAATGTTGACATCTGTGTTAATATATATTCCAGGAAATGTAAGATAAGTCGAAAATTCAGGGAAGACTCAGTACTCACAAACCAGTAATACAAAGACACCAGTAACATTTAACTTTCTACTCCACTGTATTCTCCTTTCTATCATTTTGTGGTTGTCATCAGATCTAAGTCTTATTCTGATTCTTTTTAGGTAATGTGTCTTTATCCTCTGGTAAGAGTTTTCTTTTTATTTATTTATTTTTATTTAGAGAAAAAAAAGCAAAAGAGAAAAAAGGATATAAATAATACAGAATTTCAAAAAAAGTAAGAAATCACTAGTTGATAAATTACATATTGTTATCTGAGAAGTAGTTGCTATATATTTTATAACTCACAAAATCAAAGCATAAAAAGTAGACAATCACTGTAAAATCAGGAATAAGATACAGATGTCCACTATCACCACTCCTATTCAATACAGTTCTGGAAATATTAGCCAGAAAAATCAGACAAGAGAGAGAAATAAAAGGAATAAAGATAGGAAAGGAAGAAGTTAAATTATCACTATTTGCAGATGACATGATACTTGACACACAAGACCCCAAAAACTCCATTAAAAGACTACTATAGTTCATAAACGAATTCATCAGCATAGCTGGATACAAAGTCAACATTCAAAAACCAATAGCATTCCTGTACACAAACAAAAAACTCACTGAGAGTGAAATAACAGAAATATCTCCTTTCACAATAGCATCTAAAAAAATAAAATACCTAGGAATCAATCTAACCAAGAATGTAAAAGACCTATATGATGAAAATTATACTACTCCAGAAAAGAAGATTGAAGAGGATATTAGAAAGTGGAAGGATATTCCTTGCTCTTGGTTAGGAAGAACCAACATTGGGAAGATTTTTCTCTTCCCTGTATCTCAAAATTCAAGAATTGCACTATTAAATTCCCAGAATAATATCATTTTCATGTACCTTACTTGGAGATCATCAATCATCATTGAATGTTCACGTTCACTTTTCAAGACAATTTGAAACTTTTGCAAATAGAGTCTCCTTAGCCACTGCTTTTCCATATTTTCCTGCCTATAAAGAGTACTATCAAAGCTAAAATAATGCATCATCAGAGTCATCTTAAATTCAGAGAAGTTATTTTACACAATTCTGTCCACAAAGCAGAGTAGCCTTTCATAATATAAAGTACATATTTTTCCTAGAAAGTACATATCTTTCCTTAAACTTTAAAAGAAATTTTAGAATTATAATTTTATAATTAAAATTATAATTTTATAACCTCCTTAAGGAAGTGATTCTTATTTTCAGGATACTCCGTTTCAAGCAGAATTTCTGATGATTAATTTTAAATGAAGTTCTACATCTAAAATGCCCACAGTAAGCACAGCAATTTTATTTTGAATGGAGAAAAAACAATAATGTATTTATTAAACACAAGTACCTCATGTTGCTTAAACTTCTCTTTCCACATTTCTTCTTCTTTTTGGAGCTCATCATTCATCTTGGCTTCTTCTTGCTGAACACATGATAATAAAAATATTACATTAAAATAACAAAGAATATTATGTTCATCATCTATAACGTTCACAAAATGTATTTGCAAACAATAATTAAATGTGGTGACCTACCCAACAGTTCTCTGTTATTAGCATCGCAATTAAAATTTTAAACTCAAACTTAGTATCAAACTAAAGTACTCTGTAAATGATGGCCTTGGGTTTCCATTCTGACAAAACAAAAATGCTTGCAATCTGGAAAAGATATTTTATTTACTTGAATATGTTTCTTTAAATAATAAAACATAATGGCTAGAAATACTGTTAGGCATTGCAAAAATTCCAAATAGTAATATTATTATAAGATGGGTTTTAGATTATGATTGCTTCCCTCTACAGCATTTAATAACCTAATGCCTCAGTGTAGTAAGTAATGTTTCTTTCAATATGTCTTTATTAGTACATATTTACTTAAGACAACAGAATAAACAAAAATAAGTTCATCAAAAACTCTACCTTAATACAGGAACACTATCACAAGTTTACTATTATTTTAGCTTTAGCAGAATTAGTTTATCATAAGAGAAAAACCATATAAAAAGTCACTGTGGTAATAAATATTTTACAGGATCATGAAAAGTTCCATGTAGAATATTGAGAATTGTCTAGGTTTTCAAGAGTGAAAAAAATGTATAACACTTACTAAGAATGCTGAACTAAGAAAATTATTACAGTTCTATTTTTAGGAAACTTTTAAGTTTCTATTGGAATTTGGGAAAGAGAGGCATGGAAAGGTATAGGGAAATATTAAGAGATGCCCATTGAGATCAGGGAAGATCCTCCACAGATACAGAGCAGGAGTGAGGATACTTACAAAATCAACACAGTCTGGAAAATGTCACAAGTTGCCAATAAAATAGCTATAAAAGAAGTGGGGAAAGTACTTTGGATGTTAACTTCAGTGAGTCATAGGGCATGGAGGTGAGATTTATGCAGAGAAATAACAGTAAAAAAAGTAACTCTGAGAACACTGCATTGGATCAGTTTAAGAAATGTAAGAGCAAAGGTAGGGAGATACTGTAGAAATTACAGTAAACATTCTATTTATTTGTTTTAATTTTCCTAGTACCTATAATAAAGGAAAAAGGTCTTCATTTTGGCATGTTTGTACATGGCGTAGGACACTTTATTTTCACTTCTGTTCCTTCCTTCCTTATCCCTTCCTCCCTACCTGCTCTCCCTCTTCTCTAATGGTTTCCCTTCTACTTCATATCATATCTCTTTTCATCTTCATTTATTTGCTTCAGATTCCAAGTATGAAATAAAATATTCATGATTAATTTTTCTGAATTAGGCTTCTTGGACTTCACATGGTATTCTCCAGTTCCATTCACTTTCGTGCAAGTGACTTGATTTCCTTCTTTATTTCTGGTTAATATGCATCTGTAGATGGGCATTGTGGTGGGTTAACTAATGGTCAATTTGTAACACCAGCTGAAATGAATCAGCGTGGTGTTGGGTGCGGAAGGCCCACCTGAGCGTTGTTAGCCAGTAGCAGAAAAGGAGAATGGGAAGAGAAGATGGTCTGCTGTTGATTCTCCTCGAAAAGCTTGTCATGCTAATTTTCCTGATATGAACTTGGCTGTTCTCACTGTCAGAGGAGCTTGAGTTCTTGCTGTTGCTGAGGATGACTGTGGTTCTCCTCAAGGGAGCTCTGGTCCTTACCCTGAGCATCACTTCCTGGCTCCAGTGCAGACCCCTCAGCCTGCTGGCACGAATTCTTCATTCCACTGGTGCAGAATTTCTAGCTTCTACCACTAATCTTTGGGTCTTCCAGTGCAGACCCTTGAAGCAGACTTGCATGAGACATTGTGGGCTGCAGACCTCCAGTAGGACCCAAGGAGGACACTGCCATGGGCTCTAGGTCTTCAACTGGATTTGTGCAGGACACTGATATGGAATCCAGTTCCTCAGCTGGATTCTCTGGGCCAACAGATCTCCTACACACTTTTGCATTTGACTCTTTGAGTGAATAGTGAAAGGGTTGTTGGCCCAGACCAGACACTGTAGCCAGAAAAGACCTCAGCCAGAATCAGAGAGCTCCTGTCTCCCCCGCCCCTAGAGATTTACCTGTAACTCTATATCCCCCCACCCTTCGGAATCTGCCCCTGGTGCCAAACGTGTGCCAATGAAATATCTGTGCATCTCTAATGGCCTTAGGGCACTGTCCTAAGCTTAGGCTACTTATATTCCTCCATGCCACATGTCCACAAGAGAGATCGCCAGACTTCAGTGGCCAGGGTGCCAGTCATCTTTCTCTGTGTTCTCAGAATAAAGGCCTCTTTTTGTTTTATACTTCTTATCTTTTGGAAATACTTTTCACTTTTTGGAAATAATCCTATCATTTGGTGCTGTGACTCAGATCAGCAGGCGATTCACTCTTGGAACACACACACTCAGTTGTGACCCCAGCCGATTCACGAACCCGTTAACATCTGGCTTAATTCTGAGCTTTTTCTTCTGCCGAGATGCATTTCACTTCTCATTGGCCGCCTCCACCCACCACCAACCAGATTGATTTAAGGTGAACACGCTCCGGGAGACTCGTGGCACTGGGCCAGGCACCAGTGGACTGTTCTCCCCCATTTGCGTGGGTCTCTACCATTTTCACGTCCTTAGGACAGCCCTGAGCAGGGTTTTTTCTGGGCTAGCCTGTGTCCACACTAAAATCTCTCATGTTCTTTTGGTTCTGATAGCCCAAAGCAGAGATTTTTGGACTGCCCACACTGAAAAGTCCCTCCCTTCCCTTTAAAGCCTCACACTTTCACTGGCAAAGCTGCTACTAACCTCGCGCAAACGCCACTCGTAAATTTCTCAGTGACTACTAGAATATACGAGTTTTTGGAACCTTAGTCCCCCACCGTGTGGCACCACAGAATCAGTGATGGCTTATTCTCTGGGCCACAGGTTTTTTTCTTGCCTAAATCAATAATGGGAAATTTACTTCCTCACTCCCAAAAAACGCCGTTACAATGCTTAATTTCCAATTTACATACTTTAAAAATAAAAGTACCCTAAAAATTAAATTATTAACTTTTTACTGCCAGGAAGTTTGGCCTACGTACCCACTCCTCGGCAAACGTTGGCCCAGGGAAGAAACATTCGATGTTTCCACTCTGCAAACACTGCATGATTTTTGCCCAGCCAGTGACAGGGTGATAGAGCTGCTGTACATAGAAGCCTTCTTGGTTCTGAGAACACGTCCATCTCTCATTAAGTCCTGTAATCCCATGCAAATACTCCTAGGTAGCTCTCCTGTGAACCAATCTGTTTCATTCTGTCCCCAGGATATGCTTAAGGATGCTCCTCCGATTTTCTCTAGGACCCCAGCATTTCCCCAAATTAATTCTTCATCCTTATCTCGCTTGCCACCGCCGTCCCGTCCCCCCACCCCTGGTCCCTCTGCACTGAAATTACCTCTCACTGTGCGATCCTCTCTCCCTCCACCTTCTGAGATACAGGCCTCTCCCAGCAGCTCTGCTCTGCCCTCTGACAACTTCTCGCCCCCTGCCCACCACACTAGGTCACGTTCATTGTGCCCTTCCGGCAAGCAGCGTGATTTTTCCAGCTTGCACCGGAAACAGTTGCTATGTGATAGCCCTCCGAAATGCGACGGAGTGCTGCCATGTTTGGGAAGTTGCCATGGCAACGGAGTGCTGCCATGTTCGGGCAGTTGCTGTGGCAATGGGGCACTGCCATGCTCACCATGTTCGGGCAGCTGCAGCAGCGACGGGGTGCCGCCGTGTTCAGGTAGTTGCCATGGCGACAGGGCGCCACCATGTTCAGGTGGGTCACGTGGCGATGGGGTGCCGCCATGTTTGGTTGGTTACCATGGCGACAGGGTGCCACCATGTTCGTTCTGGTCTCACAGTCAATGGGCGCCGCCTTGTGTCTCCTCTTGTGAACAGCAACAGCCGCTTTGTTGCAGTCCACATGGTAATGGCTCACAACAATCCTCTTACTGCAAGACCACAGTGCAATGCCATCTGCCTGTGTTTCCTCATCCCAGGGTGAGCGGCAGCCGCTCTGTAGCCGCTCTTCAGATAATTACTCACACGAGTCTACCGGTCAGATAGCTGCCTAATGGTACCCTCCTCCACATTCTTCTCCTCAGGCTCTGCTACCACTTCAGGAGCAAGCTGGCCCCGAGGGACTTGTTAATATACATGTGCCATTTTCCCTTTCTGATCTGTCTCAGATTACCCATAAATTAGGTAGCTTCTCTGTTGACCCACAAAATTATATCAGGCAATTTGAATTCATTACTAATTGTTATGATTTACATTTTAAAGATATTTATGTGATTTTAAATACCACCCTTAGCTTGCAAGAGCAAAATCAACTGTGGCAAGCAGCTTGAGAAGAAGTGGACCACAGGCATAGGGCAAATGCCACTGACAGCAACCCTGGGCCTGTAGCTGTGCCAGACCAAGATCCTAACTGGAACTATCAAAATGGACAAGGTTCAACAAAATTAGATAAGATGACTGAGTCTGATCATGGGCCTTAATAAGATCGCTCACAAGCACACTAATTATAATAAGCTTTTAAAACAGGTCTAGGAGACTAACGAAACCTGGCTGTGTTTCTAAAGCCGCTTTGGGAAACCTTAATTAAATATATTAATGTAAACCCAGACTCTCATGAAGGGATGATTGTTGTTAACTCTTATTTTATTTCACAGTCTGCTCCTGATATTCTTGCAAAATTACAAAAGGTTGAACATGGCCCTCATACTCCACAAGGGGATCTACTTAAATTAGCCTTCCGTATCTTCAACAATAGAGATAAGCTTCAAAAAGAGGAAAAGCAAGCTCAAAAATTAAAGTTTGCTAAATATCAGTCTGACCTCTTAGCAGTGGCACTTGGAACTCCCAAGACAAACAATCCACAACAAGGTGTGGCTGCCCGAGTCACATCCAGACCATGCTTCAAATGCAGCAAACAAGGACATTAGGCA